GGGCCCACGGGGCCCCCCTCCCCCCCCCCCCCCGCGGTCCGCTGCCCTCGGTGGCTGTGCAGCAACCGTCCGGGGGCCCCTCCTCCTCCTCCTCCCGGAGAGCACGTGGCCGCGGAGCCGCTGCAGCCGGTGGCAGCGCCGCATGGTGTGCCGCGTCCGCGGGGCGCCCGACCTCTGGCTCCCCCCGCCCCCGCATCCAGCTGGCCCGGGAGGGGAGCAGGCCGGCCGTCAGTCCGAGGGAGGGCAGGCAGGGAACCCCCCCCCCTCCACTCCCCGCTTTAGCCCACCTGGGGCGGAGGGTCCGGGCGCCCTGCTGCTGCTGCTGCTGCTGCGCTCTGGAGACCCTCTCCTGCCCCTCCCCGTGTGGCCCCGAGGGCTCCCTGGGGCTGCCCAGTAGCCCTGCCCTCCCTCGGCCAAGGCCCCGGCCAAAGCCCGACTCTCCCTCGAGGGCCACAGGTGGCTCTTTTCACCTGGGCCTCCCTGGTGCTCTGGAGCGGGCCACGGTAGCGCTGGGTTAACCTTTCCTCTCCCTCCACCACCACCCCGAAGCAGGTATTTTAGGCCTGGGGGGGTGAGGGCAAGTTCGGGGTGGGGTGGGGTGGGCCCCGACACCCCTTTTTCTCACCCCTCTGCTCCAGGAAGCCCCCGGGTGGGCTTGCAGGAGGAGAGGCTGGCACCTGTGCAGGGATTTCCTTATTGTTCTCATCACAAAAAGCAGGGTCTCAAACATCACTTCTCCCTTTCTCTCGACACCCCACCCCACCCCTTTGGGGCCATGCCTGTGTAGCTTTAGCATCCCACCTGGTGAAAACGTCTGAATAAACTCTTCAAAGCTTCAACACTGCTCTGTGTACTTTGGGTTAACCAGGTGCCATTTGACCGAGAACTTGAGGGGCCACACCGGGCTGGGCAGGTCCTTGGGTCTGAGTTACAGTCCAGTGGAATGCTTAACATAAGAACATAAGAGAAGCCAATGTTGGATCAGGCCAATGGCCCACCCAGTCCAACACTCTGTGTCACACAGTGGCCAAAAATACCAGGTGCCCTCAGGAGGTCCACCAGTGGGGCCAGGAGACTAGAAGCCCTCCCACTCTTGCCCCCCCCCCCAAGCACCAAGAATACAGAGCATCCCTTGCCCCAGACCACTAACAGCCACTGATGGACCTCTGCTCCATATGCTTATCTATAAGAACATAAGAGAAGCCAGTGTTGGATCAGGCCAATGGCCCACCCAGTCCAACACTCTGTGTCACACAGTGGCCAAAAATACCAGGTGCCCTCAGGAGGTCCACCAGTGGGGCCAGGACACTAGGAGCCCTCCCACGGTTGCCCCCGCCCCCAAGCACCAAGAATACAGAGCGTCACTTGCCCCAGACCACTAACAGCCACTGATGGACCTCTGCTCCATATGCTTATCTATAAGAACATAAGAGAAGCCAGTGTTGGATCAGGCCAATGGCCCACCCAGTCCAACACTCTGTGTCACACAGTGGCCAAAAATACCAGGTGCCCTCAGGAGGTCCACCAGTGGGGCCAGGACACTAGGAGCCCTCCCACGGTTGCCCCCACCCCCAAGCACCAAGAATACAGAGCGTCACTTGCCCCAGCCTGAGAGTCCCTATCTATACCTTGTGGCTAATAGCCACTGACGGACCTCTGCTCCATATGTTGATCCAGTTCCCTCTTGAAGCCATCCATCCTTGTAGCCGCCACCCACCTCCCATGGCAGTGAATTCCACGTGTTGATCACTCTTTGGGTGAAGAAGGACTTCCTTTTGCACCTTCCAACCCGACTACTCAGCAATTCCATTGAGTGCCCACAAGGAGTTCTTGTACTGGGAGAAAGGGACCTCTTTCTCCACCTGCTCTATCCCGTGCAGAGTCTTGTACACCTTGATGATCACTTCACCCCTTAGCCCTCGTTTCTCCAAGCTAAAGAGCCCCAAGGAGGTCCAGCTGGTCTATGCTAGCAGTTCTCATGGGAAGCCTTGCAGCCAGAGAGGAACTTATTGGTGCCGCTGGCGGAGATGACCCCCTCTTGGAGGACGGGGTGCCCGTGCGCTCTGCACGTGTTCTGCCCCTGCCAAAAAATCAGCCTGTCCCCTGGTGTGAGGCAGTGGAGACTTTTGGCAGTTCTTTGTCCCAGCTGGATGTGGCCTCTGTCAGCCAGTGCGGGGGATTTCTCCGCAGAGCCTTAGAACTGGCAAACGGGGATTGAACTCCACAGATGATGGCCCCTTCCCCATGAAGAAACACCCCCTGAGACTGGTTCTGCCCCCCCCCCCCCCCCACGACACGCG